ATACAAATACCACAGTGGGAAAATCTTCAACTTCATACCGGACATGTACAAGACCTACATTTATACAATAAATAATATTAACCTACTCAAAATTATCTTCAAAAATATGTACTCAATATTAATAGGGACATTGTTCATAACATTCTTATAAAAAAATAAAGACGACAATATCTATTATATTTTCCTTTTATACTGTTGCACATGTGCACTTCTAGCACAAATATTCCTCTCAATGTACCGTAATTTAATATTATATTCATGTTCATAATTATCTATTAAATACTTCTAACAATTTTATATACACTGTACACTATGTTGCAAATATTTGTATTGTTTCTCAAATCAGTTCATTAATTATGCCTTTCCCAATAGGAGTCCCACGCACTTCAGACATATATATGTGTACAACTTAATTTTGTATATCTACAAAAAAAAATGACACTTCGACCAATTACTCACGATTATAATACCCGCACTAAATCGAATGGTGATGTACAAGTGAATGCACTAAAAAAATCCATTGGTCAACACTCATACAAATACCACAGTGGAAAAATCTTCAACTTCTTACCGTACATGTACAAGACCTACATTTATACAATAAATAATATTAACCTACTCAAAAACATCTTCAAAAATATATACTCAATATTAATAGGGACATTGTTCATAACATTCTTATAAAAAAATAAAGACGACAATATCTATTATATTTTCCTTTTATACTGTTGCACATATGCACTTCTAGCACAAATATTCCTCTCAATGTACCGTAATTTAATATTATATTCATGTTCATAATTATCGTACATGTACAAGACCTACATTTATACAATAAATAATATTAACCTACTCAAAAACATCTTCAAAAATATGTACTCAATATTAATAGGGACATTGTTCATAACATTCTTATAAAGAAATAAAGACGACAATATCTATTATATTTTCCTTTTATACTGTTGCACATGTGCACTTCTAGCACAAATATTCCTCTCAATGTACCGTAATTTAATATTATATTCATGTTCATAATTATCTATTAAATACTTCTAACAATTTTATATACACTGTACGCTATATTGCAAATAATTACACTGTTTCTCAATTCAGTTCATTAATTATGCCTTTCCCAATAGGAATCCCACGCACAACTACAGTTTCAGTGGGTCTCTATGTCTTTGTTTCTACTGCATTTCTTAATGTCACTGTTTCAAATTATTGTAATATTTAATGTATTTATCAAATCATCTAAAAGAACAATTCGTTCAGGCCAGTCTCAACACCCTACACAGTAGGTTAATGGACTGACACCTATCAGAAAACAACTACTCCCCTGGCTAATACCACGAAGGGCGTTGGATTATATCCGACAGGTGTCAGTGCAGGATTCTTCACTGAAGTTATTCCTGCATATGCTGTTGGATATGTTTGATGGATAGATAGATAGATATATTTATCATATATCATATGTTGATCATGTTATGTATAAAATACAACTCTGAGGAATCGGACATCATAATATATAAACTCAACTATCAGAAATGATCTGCTGTATCACCTCCTCACCTATTACAATTTGTACCATGGCTTTTGAAACACCCCCTATAATAGGCTTCTCACTTTTATAACCTCAAACTTCTGAATGCTCATCAATTTTGTTTTAGACAAGGGTGTCCAGAGAATTAACAATTTTATAAGTAAAATTGGAACCTCTAATTTTGAGAAGAGGTTTTTCAATAGAACTAGCAATATTTATTGCAATTAGCCAAATGACGGAGTAAGCTGATAATGAAAATCCTCTCAAAGGCCTATGAATTATGAAAAACTAAAAAAGCATAGAAGTTTGGCATAAGGGGCGTGGGCTTTGAACTCATTAGGTCATACCTATTAAATGTAGTACCTACTCACTTTTTTTCACTTTTGCTCAAATCCAGTCTATCACATAATACATTGTAAGAAACTCTACATACTCGTCCATCTTCTAATAATAATGCAATATACGTGGAAGCTAAACAAATACGTTTGACACCAGCACGTAAGTTGGACAGTCCAGGATGTAAATTGTGTCCAAGACGATTTATTCTGTCTGCTACCTCCTTCAATCTGAAAATAAAATTGAAAACTAAAAAAGTTATAGTTCTTTATAAAAACGTATGGACTTAGGACCAAAATGAAACTTTCAAACTTTTTAGGGTCTTACATAGAAAACATTTTTAGATGGGGTTTCTGAAATATATGCCCAAATGAATAAAAATATTTAGAAAGATAGAATTGGCACTATTTATTTTATAAAGTTACATGAAACCATTTGTGGATGAAGAACAACCTGAAAGGTCCTAGCAAAACTTTGCAACATTTTGTATAAGTACAACAAATTATTCATTACCCTTTTTGCCTATTACAATATTCTCTACACAAAAGATTCTATACTTTTTCTTATAGATGGCACTACCACAAATAATTTTCTCCGTAAACTTAACTAGAGTTGTCCTGATTTGAATTGACTGATTTAATCGCGATTTGAACAAAATGATTTTTTAAATTTTCACCATGTTCTGATTCGCCTTAAAAACTTTTCTCCAATTCGTCGAATGTTTCCACCGCATCAGAAATACAGGCATATTTTTATTATAATTCATCTAGTGCTACAGCTATGGGATTCAAAACCTTCAAATTATGTTTTGCAGTTCTCTTGAGTCTAATATTTGATGCTTTCTATTCTGGTACACTACATCATCAATTTCTCTCTGATAAACTATTCTGCCTCACATTGCTGGGAAGCATTAACGTCTTTCCACCTGTTTTGCTGTACTTTGCTATAGCAACATGATTATTTCACAAGTATAAGACAACTTGTACAATATTTTCTTTGATATTTTTTATCTAAAAGTCTTTGTATAGCTATTTAAAAATATATAGGCGGCACAACCATAGATTTTGTGTTTAGTCTTGTATTGTCTTTCTCATGCAAGCCATATTGGCTGCATTATCATTAACAAAAGGTGTCACATTACATTTGTAATCTTTATTCCGTTTCATATCAAGTCGGACAGAAGATTGAGGCAGTATTATACTTGCATGTGTTTATGATACAGTTTCCAAAATGAAAATGACAATAACAGTCATTAACTTTTGTTAAACAGCCTAAGACCCAAATTAACCAGTTGCATCAAAGCACCCAAAAGCCAATTTTCAATTCATGTTCAATATGTTCATGTTTCAAATGCTAGTTTATTTTGTAAACAAACCACTGGAAATTTGGTGTTTGTACAGTTTTCAATATTTGTGTAAAATTTTATCTCATTTCCCATTTTTCCTATATCAGTTCAACTTTTAGATGAGTGATTTGCACAAAGTCATCCTACAGGAACTGCCATATTGTTCCTCTGCTAAAACAGCAGGTTTCTAAAAAATCCTACTCTTTGATCATGACTGAAATCCAACAATTAACATTAATTTCTGAATTCCTTACAGAGGCCTTGTCTATTCAATAGTGACATATGAAAGGAAAAATACACATTCACCTAAAGTATATTTGTGCCCTTATTTTCAATGAAATTTAGAAAACATTAATACATTTGGCAATATTGAAACTGATCCATCCAATGTAGAAATGCAAGTTTAAAAAAACTTCAATAAATTTTGTTACGTGATTGCATTTTCTTAGGTGGAACAAACTAAAGAGGTGTATCAGATGGAAAACTAGATGTTGTTATCCAAACACAAGGTAAAAAATATTGAATTAATAAGCAGTTTCCTAACAAAATGGAAACAGGGAGTGGTAAACCGATTATGTACCACAATCGCACCGAGAGACATGAAATGTTTTCAAAGAAAATGGAGGAGGTTCAACGGTTGTTCAACCCAAGTGACTTTTTGTCAGTACCCCAAAGTTTTACCTGTCGTTAAACTGTTCCTCACTGCCTGGTAAAGGATGCACTACGTACTGTAGAGAAGTCATTTTGAATTATTTCACTCGTTACAAATGAAAACGGAACTAATTTTAGGAATTAGCTAAATATGAAATCATCTTCTGAATCTCACATGAAACAAATCGCCATGTTCTTTTCAGATATCACGAATTTTCTTTTTATTCATTGTTGCCAATGGATGCCAAATCTAAAGATTCGATTTTTTCACAGAGAGGGCCTGTCAGATGTCGAAATAGAAGTACATACAATGCTTTCCAGAGATCATTTTTATCATTTTTGACTACGAAATAAAAGTTTTAAGTGATTTTTCCATCAACATCGATGATTAGCTTTGACTGAAGTCGATTGTAATATTGCTCGTGTCCACCAGCTTCCAGGAGTTAATATAATTGCTTCAATGCGGTAAACGGTAGTTGCTGAATTCAGCTACTTCATATTGTAACCTGGTCTTTCTGAATATTCATGAAACAATCACATGTGGTATTTTGGTGGAGTTATCCAAATCAAGGGTCGAATCGAGTTTGAATTGTAGTTAATTTTCAATAGGCTCTTTGGGGAGCCTCGTTTATCTTTTATATTCGGGGATTGAGTCTTCTGTCGATACCATAGGTGAATCTTCGTAGGGGAAATGCTATCACTTTCGCCTCTGGGCTTGTTTTTTTACGACAGTTCAGTGGTTCAGCCTAGCACCACTGACGACACCTGATGATTCGAAACGGTGCTGTCTGATGTTGGATCACTAATTCATCGAGTTGTCTTGTAGTGAAAGCTGAACTGAAAACCAAAGAGTTAATCTCGTTCGGCGGTCGATTTTGTACTTTGGCTCTGCAACGGAGCCTCATTTATTCTTGGTATTCGGGGATTCAGCCTTCGGTCGATTCCATAAATGGCAGGGGAGGATGCCATCACCTTTACTTTAAGACTATTTTCAAATTCTGATATTATTAAGAAAAAAGTTATTGGCAATTTTCTCAGCATTTTAGATTTCTAAGGCCTACTGCTGAATTCTGAATAATTCATCTGAATAACGATGAATAATATTTTTATAATCCATACGTGGTTTGAGTTTTCGGTGTTCACGATTATAATTTTGTAAAGTTACATTCCACTCTTCATCTGAGCTAGATCCTGAAGCACTCTTGCGATGCATCAATAAATATCCAATCACCGAAAAAGACATTCTGATTACATTAAAACATGATTTGTTTAATACATTCACTGGAATTATTTATAAAAATTTGAGTATTACTCATTTTTCAATATAAATAAAGTAAGCTTGCAATTATGGAAACTTATTGATAAGGCTTGCATAACCTTTTTAAAACTATACTTTATTTTTTCAACCGCTCCATTCCATAATCCATTCCATTTGAGTTTCCGGCTGGTAATGTTCGCAAGCAAGTGAAACGGAAAAAACTGCGGTCGTGAACGTGATCGTTGTGAACGCACATGGAATGCACATGAGCACATGTGCCATCGCATTTCTGATGTGCTTTTCTTAGCCTATTCGGGAAGAGCTGTAGAGTAATTCAGAACCATCACAACTGAATCGCTGTCATTAATAAAGCAAACAGTGTAATCTGTTGCGTACTGGTGATCCGTGCTTGTGACACTAGTTGTGACTAAACCATAGAATGAACTGACACTGACAGTCGAGTCGCGTAGTTGGGTTGGGTATGTGTGTGTGTATGTGAAATAAACATTACTATTTGTGCTTAAATTTCAAAAACTTCCAGGAATTAATAATATGAATGTAAGTTTTCACAGAAAGAATACATTAGATCCGTGATATGATTTGATAATACAAAGATCAATGACCATCGGGTGGGTTGTATCCACACTTTTCAGTGTTTGCTGAGACATACGTAGTACATTCCCACCTCTTTTTGTGTAGAGCATTTGTAGTGTTCTGGGTCAGATGGGATGTCTGTGATCGGCTTATTTAATTATTGTGGGTTTACTTTTTGGAATGATTGAGGTGCAGGTTGTTGTAATTATTAAAATCATTTTGAGACGCAATGTCATGAGAGCCCACGCTTAATTTCATTAAAACTGATATTGTTTGCAGAGTCTTTTAATTAATGTGATGAGCAACTGTTTAACTTTTCTCTATAATTTCGTGAGCTGGGCATTATTTCCATTGTTGTCATTAATCATTGAATTTTCAGTTAACTAGATAGGTATTTGTTTTTCAGAAAGAAATTGACATTTGAAAATTATAAGCTTTGAAGTAGCAGAAATAATAAAAACTATGTTTTGAATGTATTTAGTATTTTTTATTTCACTACATACATTTTTGGTATCTTTGTTGTATTAAGCAGTTTGTAGATATTATTTGAAAGACATATTTGAGGAGAGTTATCAATATTTAGACTATTATGTGTTCATATTCTGAAAAGTATATTGTGAAGAATCTGCACAGATCTAGTGAAATGCAAACTGAAAATTTCAACCCATGATGTAAGCAGAAATCCACTATATAAGTAAACTATTCTACTTAATAAATAATACAATTTCCCTACAAATGAGATGAAAAATACAAAACAAATGTATCAAGAGTAATGTGGAGAGTCGACTGCGCAAGACTAGTAGCTAAAGAGTAAACTGAAAATTTCAACCCGAAAAGGTACTGTATAATAGAATCTCAAGAAGTCCACCAAGTTTGTTTCTTGTACTACTTATAATATTCCGTATCCAAAGAAATGAGAAATACAAAATGATTAAAACAAATAGTAGCGTCAAGTGTAAATTATTTTAAGAGCCGATATGATTAGTTCATTGCATTATTATCAAGTGTTTGGTGATATTTAGATGCAAAATTTTTCTATTTTCTCTCACTTCTCTATTTTTTGTACACACATCACTTATGTTTGTATATATATTTTCGTACGGTAATTGATGATATCAAAAAATCCAGAATCACACTAAACATTGAACTACCTAGATTTTTGATAGATACCTGCTTTTCTCAAATATATTTTTTTGTATGAAGTTGGTGGAAGTGTAGCGATCCATTCTTAGGTTACCAATGAGTAATAATAAAAATGCAGTGGAATAATAATTGTCTTATACATTGTAATTCGAGATTTGGTTATGAGATTTTGAAATATTCTTAGAAGAAAGATAACTTTTTTATTATTTTTTTGATGACTATGTTTGATGGATAGATAGATAGATATATTTATCATATATCATATGTTGATCATGTTATGTATAAAATACATTTATGACAAGTCAGAAAAACAAATAGGTGCAAGGTACAAAGTTTTCTATGAAATAAAATAAACAGTAAAAATTTGTAACAAGTTTACAGGGNTTCAGTTTGTGTCTGAAAGTTACTTCTTTGCATGATCTACACATCCATGTATAGAGTTACTTATTTTCAAATTGATTACTTCCTTCCTTTCTTTGGAAGATTCTCTCATCCCTTTTTTTGTATCAGATGGAGTAGTAGAAAGCCAAAAACTTCCTTTCCCGAAAAAAACCCTATATATCTTTATACCTTTCCTTTTCATGCACATTTATCGAATAAATACCGTTGCTAACATAGTTTTTTATACATTTACACATTGACATACCTTTATTTATATATTAAATAACAGCCCTCAGATATAATACACTTGGGCCAATGTTTTTTCCAATCCTCGAAGAAGTGATATGCATTTTTTGGTATATCCTTTAGATCTCTCGCTTTTTGTCTCCTCAATCGTCACAAAGCGCCTTACTTTCATGGGTATCTCCAAGCTTGGGAACAGAAAAAAGTCGTAGGGGGGCAGATCTGGTGAATATATGGCCTCAAGTCTATCGAATATATATAGCCACATCTGGTGTACCACAAGGATCAAATCTAGGACCCCTACTGTTCAATATGTCCATTAATGATATCGGAGCTGAGATTGATGTCAATTTCCTTGTATACGCAGATGACTTGAAACTCTATCACAATATAACATGTTCTAATGATTGCGAACGTCTCACCCTGAATTTAAATCGCGTTGCTACATGGTGTCGAAAGAATAATCTATCTCTCAACATATCCAAATGTAATGTAATGTCTTACTCACTAAGAAGGAACTTGAATTTACACAACTACTTCATAAACAATCAAGTTCTGGAGCGTCCTGACACACTCACTGATCTATGTGTTACTTTTGATTCATCCCTCTCTTTCAATAAACATATTGACACTACTCTAACAGCAGCTGATCGCATGTATGGATTCTTAGTTAGAAATACAAAATACTTCAAAAAAACTTCAATATTGAAATTACTTTATTTCACTTTTGTTCGATCTAGGCTGAAATATGCATCTGTCGTGTGGGATCCCTACTATCAGGTTCATATAAATCAACTAGAAGCCCTACAGAGGCGCTTCCTAAAATATATGTCTTTTAAACTTGAAGGCACATATCCTACCGTAGGAATACTACCCTATTATGAATTGCTTGTAACTCAAAATTTTTGTAGTCTCGAGCTTTTGGGTTCCTAGACGGTCATCTAGAAATAGTCTCACATTTTATCTCAACACTCCGCGTACAAATATAACGAAAAAATCTCCAATTTATACAATGTGCGATACCTCTAATTCTGTTAGTCATGTCCTAGATATATATATTCAACTGCCGGATTATACAAATCAAAAGACATTTCTTAGCTAACTGACAGTTTTGTTTTAATTTTTTTTTTATATAGATTCACAAATTATATTATGTAAGTAAATATTTGTAAATGCCACTTTTACTCTCTATTCTGTAATTGGGTTCATCCTGTAGAATAGTGTATGAAATAAATGAATAAATAAATGAATACGCTTCGGGAGACAACACAACCTCGAGCTAAAATTAATACTTTTTCCCTTGTATAATAAATAACTATTTACTTTTGTATATATTTTCAAATTTACCAACTATGAAGCATTTATTCGTCAAAAATCTCTCGCGAATTTTCCTAATGCCAATTATTCCAACTTCAAGGTTCACCTAAGTAAATAGTTCATGGTATTTTGTTTGTTGTAAATGATATATCTGTAATCATAGTATGTAATACACGCTAATGTAAGCATGGTGGCCTTTATTCACACATGGTTGCCAGGTAAATATTTGTTCAAGCAATATTATACTATTTTGAATTTAATCACAAGCTTGATGTTAGTCATTTTGATAGAGATACTAGTTATGGCGAAAAACTAGTGTAAAAATGATTCCTCTGAATTCATAAAAATTAAGTTGAGGACGATATACAGGGTGTTGTATTATTGGTAGATAATTCTCTGTGAAATTTTAGATTTGTTTTGATTGAATTACCTGAATTCATTTCGTAATCGGAAGAGTATTATTTATGAGTTTTCAGTAGGTTTGTAATAAAAAATACATAATGAGGGAATATTACATTGTGGTGAAAGAAATAAAATCAGCTGCAAGATTGATTGATTGATTGATAATATGTTTATTGTTTAAGAATAAAATTCTTGTTACAAACACAATGTCATAAATAAATATCAATATAAACATGAAGTATAAGATGATTAGGGCGCTCTAAGAGCGGTGTCTGTGCGAAAGTAGCGATTCACGTTGGATTTGAATCGCTGGAGAATGAATTAATTTGGGAAAACGTTCTCAGGGTGTTCATTCCACATAAACGCAGTTCTCCAAATGAAAGAGTTTTTGAACAGTGAAGTTCGAGGTGTACTAAGTTGAACCGCAAAACTATGAGCAGCCACAGTCCGTCGCGTATTTCTGATATGTACCGCTATTGGTGCAATCAAATGTGCCAATACACTTGAACACTTCCCGTGAAAGTATCTATAGAAGAGAGACAAATCTCCAACTTCTTTCGATGTTTCAGACTATCAAGGTTGCAAATGATGTTCGTGTCTCCAATCAGGTGGATGGCTCTTTTCTGGATGGAATTCAGCAGCTTCAGTGTATGGTTAGGGGCGGAGCTTTATACATGAAAAAAATACTCCAAATAACGTGTGATCTGAGCTATATAAAGCTTCAAAAGTTACCGAGGTGTGTACAGGTTTCTGGTTTGGAACAGTGTTCCACGCTTTTGAAAAGCAGCCTTCGCAATCCCAGCGACATGATTGTGCCAAAACATCTGGTATCTGTAGAGTAGGGAGAGTGAGTATAGACCCACAGCACTTAGGTCACATGTGACTCATTGTACATCCTCCCGAGGAGTTGTCCTCCTAGGTCATTGTCCATCCTGTCCTTTCCAGGAAGGTGAACAGGTCACTAGGAAACATCTCCTTTATATCGGCAGGGGTAGGTCAAAACTCGCCGAACACATACTCTCTTTGGCAACCTCGAGGTGTCTCACGGTGGCCTCCGTGAAGGGTTTTGGAAGGGGCAGCGAAATTACTGTCGTTGCGCGGCTTCTTCCACCTTCTTGGGGTTCCCTCCGTGGGGGTGCACAAGTGAGGGAGCTTTCCTGCAGGGGCAGCCGGTTCCTTGCCTTTATTCAGGGCGGAGCTCTTGGCGCCCGCCGCAGGAAGTGCCCTTGTTGTTGGTGTAGTGGGGGTGGAGGAGGAGGGTGCACTTATAGTTGCTGCCACTCCTGCCTCCTTCGCTCTCTTTCTCCTTTTGGCCTCGGCGCCGAAAATGCGCTTACGCCTTGGCCTTTGTATTACACCACGAGGTGATCTGCTATGTCCAGCCTCACTCCAAGCGGTAGATTAGGATGGACATACTCCAGCCACCGCCTTAGATTGAGGTGAGCACTTCTGTCCAGCTTTGGGATTGGTTTTTGTTTTTATTATTTCTGTTTTTGTTTGTTTCATTTATGTGTGTTCCCACGAGTAGCAAGGGAAGAGATGGTCACCTCTGGCAGAGCCTCGCATTACCAGAGGTAGGCTGAGGTTTTGACCAGTTCCCCAAGGGAATCGTTCGTGACCGCATATCACCCCGCAGCCATTCAGCTGTCGACACGATTCCTTACACCTTGTAATAAGGGAGCCCAAGCGGGGATTTCGGGATTTACTAAAGCGCGGCAGATTAATATACAGGGGATACCTTGTACCCGGTCAAGTACCTCCACCAAATATGAGCCCCATATATAAGGCCACCTGTGAAGGATAAAGGATCAGATTAGTTGGAATTTCGCGAAAAAATCACGCAGAGGTGTATGAAATTAATTACTTTCAGATATTGTTTTCCGTGTGTTTATTGCTGTTTTCATAGCTGTCGTAAAAATGTAATAATATGGAGTATTGCGAATATTTCATGTCCTAAAAACAGGTATTTTCTCTCTTTTGAGACGTATCAGTTGAAAAAAAAGTTGAAAACTCTTTTCAAATTCACATTATTTACCGTGTGAGATCAAATACATTAATATTGGATAAGTCAAAGAAGGTCAATAGGCCACCATGTCAATGAGAACATGCATAAATTGTTTTTTCTGCATCATTATTTTCTTTCCAGGATTTCGTCAAGCGATAATAAATCTGGCGAAACCGGCGACCGATCTAAATGGATTCGAACAGCAGCAACCGAGGTTCGACCGGTCAACTGTCCAGTACTGAGGGAAGTACCACGGCCGGTATGCACCACTCGCTGTCAACCCCCGCGGGCGTAGACTGTGGGGGCGCTCGGACGCCGCCGGCCACCCCCAAGAAGGGTGGCAAGATGCTGGCCATTCGAGTTCAGATGCTTGACGACACCATCACTATTTTCCAAGTTCAGGTTAGTTTAGCTCTTTTTGATGTATGATGTGTGCTGGGACAGACTGATTTTTGAATGTTAAAGCATGACAGTTCTGTTCGAACAGTTTCTTGTGAAGACAGATAAGGAATATTTCGATGAAATTTAACAAGCATATCTGTTCTATCAATCTGCCGCCAGTGTGAAGCATTTAAATTTGTCTGTAAGGACATTCGTTGCCAGCTACAAAATCAGCAAAGGAAAACTGAATTTCATATAAATTCATGAGTATTTTAAGGATTATATGAACTTTTATTTTTTTATCCATGTAATTAGGCTGTATTAGCTTGTTTGGATAATAAATAAATCTGTTCTGGCTTGAGAATCATTCATTGAAAGTGAATTATAAGTCGGGTCTCTCCAGAATGAGAAACTTTACTTATTGCTGATATGGACTTTAGTATTTTGTATCCGTTCAAGTATGCTGACTTATACAGAGTGTTACAATCTTAAACATATACTTTACAATTTTTGGGTACATAATTTAATTTCATGTTCAATTTCTGATTATACGATAAAATGTGACAATATTATGAAAATGATATTTTCATTTATCTAAAAAGTTATAGATACACTGTATGCATCCTTAAAAATCATCTCTTTTATAGTCGGTTAGAAATGTTCACGTTTTAATGCGAGTAAACTCTTGAGAGCCTCTCGTGGAATTATCCCATTCATTCGGTCCACTCGAGTATTGAAGGACGTTTTGAAGCAAAGAAAAAGTGTTCTCAAGCATCTGATAGAGTATCCGCCGTCAGCACATTCTTTAATGCGATAAAAATTCAAACGGAAATAGTTGTTTATTCCATCGACGAATTGCACACTTTACACGTTTATTTTTCATCGATTTATTGAAGTATGTATCACGTTTTTTTTAACTCTACTTTTAATACTACAGTGAATGTGAATAATTAGTACCAAAGCGGATTTTCAACCTGAAAGGTACTCGTGTTGAGATTGGATACTTAGTCTACGATACGCACCTGTTTAATTGATGAATGATATCTGATTCAGTTCCATAATGAATGTTTGAAGTGCAAACTGAATAGGAAATAGCTATTTATGATGTGACTGTTGAAAGTAAGGTTTTATTTTGTGAGTCAAAAAGTTTGCGAATGGAGCGTAGCGAGTTGAGCAATTTCACAAACAAAATATAACTTACTTTTAACACAATTATCACACAAAGTTTTTTGTACAACTACTGCCCTGTTTTATAATAAAATAGATAAATTTGATATTTTTTTGTTATCGCATTTTCTGTGAAGTCGCCGTGTCTGGTGACGCCGAATCGCCTGGTTACCAACAAACAGTATTGTTTACAGCTCACGCGTTTTATTTAAAGTCACATTCAAAGTTCTTGCTGGTGTTTAATGTCTTGCAAAACGAAGAACAATAGTGAGGAATTGTGTGTTCCTGACGATATTGAAGAGGCTGCAAAAAGAGCTTCAATTGAATTGTTACCAAAAAAATCGACTCAGCAGTACGACATCGCATATTCTTATTTTCTCAGCTGGTGTAGGTTTAAAAACGTCGAAGGAAATTTCAGCTAAACCGTCTTCTTAGCCTATCTAGAAGAGAAATCAAAAATATGGAACTCGCCAACTTTGTGGAGCAAGTTTTCAATGATAAAGTCGGGCGCGCTCGTTAAAAATGGTGTTAACACAAGCAAATATTTCAAGGTAATAGCATTCTTAAAGCGGAAAAATGAAAGTTATAGGCCTAAAAAATCAAAAACTCTTACGTTTGAACAAGTTTAGAGGTTTATAAATGAGGCGCCAGATGAAAAATATTATTTGATGAAAGTTGCTACTATTTTCGAAATATATGGAGCCTGTCGGCGTGAAGAGCTGTGCCATTTATTAATAGAAGACATTAAATTAATGGATAAATCATTGATTGTTCAAATTCCGAATACAAAAACCAAAATCGGTCGTTCTTTTTGCATTGTTGGAAAAAACATTGACTATTTTAATAAATACGTTGCATTACGCCCTTCTGTTATCAATCATCAACGTTTTTTTTTTCTGAAATACTCAAATTATAAATGCAATGCCAACCCAGTTGGTATTAACACGTTTGGGAAAATACCCTCTACCATTGCTGAGTTTCTGAACCTCCCGGAACCAAAGGAATATACAGGTCACTGTTTCAGAAGGTCTTCTGCTTCTTCGCTAGCAGAATCAGGAACAAATATAACGGATATTGAGAAGCACGGAGGATGGAAGTCTACAACGGTAGCTGAGGGTTACATCGATCAATATATTTCTTATAAAAAGGCTATTGCTGAAAAAATAATCCCAACAGCTAGCTCCAGCGTTACAGCATCGTCCTCTTCACTTCAAGAATTAAATGTTAATGCCCATGAAATTGTCAACTCAGATAGTTCAAATATATTACAAGGCTCTTCAACATCGCAAGGTATTAAATATCAGCAGTTGCTCTAAAAAGTAGTTGTTTCGAAATTATTTTTGCTTTCGTGTAATTCAATTTTTATATGAAAGTAGTTGTTTCGAGGGGACTTTTTCTTCCAGTTTGTACCTTTGCAATACCTACACATCTCTGTATACACTTTGAAATCAACTACTTTCTTCTTTTCTGTTGGAATATTCCCACATTTTTTTGTATAAAGATGGAGAAGTAGAGAACCTTTCTTCCCCAAAAATTGATCTCTCCTAAAAATGTAATCCTTTCAATTTGAATAAGATTCCTATGTCTGAGATTAAATCAAATAAGCTGATGAATGTATTACGAACTGTCATCAATGACATGAGTGAAATGAGGTCATAATTTTATGAATGGGTCGAGTGCTTTATCTTGTAATGTTACCCAGATTGGTGCTGAAGAAGCAATAAGACAAGTATCTTATTCCAAAACATCGATTTTCACCATTGAGGTTGACAGTCTTCTATGTAAGTAAAATTTTACTCCTTTCATGTACGATATTGTGTAGCAATTTTGTGAATGATATCTGATTCAATTCCAAAACGAATATTTTGTAATGTTATGAATGTGTGTGAATAAGCCATTATTTCTCGAGGATAAAATCGCGGACTTTTTTGTAGATCTTTTTAAGGTGTACAATACTGTAGTACATTTTTTTGATCTATCTCGTAGGGTTCATCCAGCATTTGACATCACATTAGACATCACATTAGAAACCTTTAAAATTATCAGTGATTCTTTACTATGTTATGCATGTTGTATACATATAAACCTTCCTCTTGAATCATTCTATCTATTAAAAAAACCCGCATCAAAATTCGTTGAGTAGTTTTAAATATCTGAGCATATATAAGGACAGACAGCGGGAATCGATTTTGTTTCATACTATTGAAATAAATAACTATACGTGGTACTATAATGCTCAATATTCACTGATCTATCGTTATTCTTCTCAATTACACGAACAAATGCACTCTTTTTCATCCCAGTGACGCACCGCGCTCAGCTGCAATACTGCCTCCTTCTTTCATTGAGCGGGTTAGTTCGTTCGGATCTGATGGTGTCTTATCTTTACTCTGTCAAAATTTTGTTTTTTGAAACTTGTCAACCGTCATTCAGACAACCAAAAAATACACACTAGGTAATGCTTCAAATGAAACCGTTTTTTAGATAGGAAAGGGTTCCTGAACATTTATTCACTTACGCTTTTACTTATATATCATTGAATATTGTAATATGGGGAATAGCAATGAAACACAAAAGTCTTCAGGAAAAGTGTGTAGTGGATGTAAAATTTGAAGTTACTGATTTTTGTCTACTGTCCACCCATCTATATCTACCCTTCAAGAGCAATTACACTTGAGATACCAAAGCGCACAATAACAACTTTTGAAAAATAAACTTTCTACAGTTGTAAATCTCTCTACAACAAACCACTATATTGTCTTAAATATATCACTCGCTGTAACAAGTTGTAACAAGTTCTAGAAAGAAACAAAAAGATATCTAAGCTATTCAAATAATCCTTTGTTCTGAGATTTTCATACTCAGAGTATGACTATAGAGTATGAAAACGCTCAGAAGTCATACTCAGAGTATGGCTCTTAACTACTCTAGAATATGAAAACGCCCAGAATATGACTCTAGAGTATGAAAACGTTTAAGAGTATGACTCTAGAGTATAAAACACCCGGGAGTCATACACAAAGTATGACTGTAGAATATAAAAACGCTCAGGAGTCATACTCAGAGTATGATTCTAGAGTATGAAAACGCTCAGAGTATGACTCTAGGGTATGAAAACGTTTAAGAGTATGATTCTAGAGAATAAAAACACCCAGGAGTCATACTCAAAGTATGACTGTAGAGTATAAAAACGCTCAGGAGTCATATTCAGAGTATGATTCTAGAGTATGAAAACGTTCAGAGTATGACTCTAGGGTATGAAAACGTTCAGAGTATGAGTGTAGAGTATGAAAACGGTCAGGAGTTATACTCAGATTATGATTCTAGAGGAAAACGCTCAGAGTATTACTCTACGAGTATGAAAACGCTCAGAGTATGACTATAGAGTATGAAAACTTGCAGAGTATGACTTTATAGTATGAAAACGCTCAGGAGGCATACTCAAGAGTAAGATTCTAGATTATAATACGCTAAGGAGTCATACTAAGAGTATGAATCCAGAAAACGATCAGGAGTCATACTCAGATTATGACTATAGAGTATGAAAACGTTCAGAGTATGACTGTATAGTATGAAAACACTCAAGAGTAATACTCAGAGTATGACTCTGGAGTATAAAACGCTAAGGAGTCATAC